GGGACATAATTGAGGCCGGCTAGATCAGTCATGATCGCAGCCGTAGCAAGTACAAGTACAAGTAAATATATTTCTTGTCTTCGAGGTTTTCGTGCACACATTTCGCAGCTTGTCCACAGTTAGATGCCTCGCTTAAAACCTCCATTGCAGTTTTATACAAAAGTAACGCAGCCTATCCTGTTCGAAAACGCAAGATGACTCTTATACTTCGATGCACTTGAGTAAAATTCCAAAACCACAAGCATTTGAAACTGAAGTCCCAGCTCACCGGCTGCTGCTCTTACTAATTCTCCTCTTTGTACCTTCCACTTCCTGCTCCCCTCTTTGCTACTTTTTCTCTTCTTCTGCCTCCTTCTCGTTCTCCTCTCCCTCTGGCTCCATTTTATTCGATTTCCTTCTTGTCCCTACTTCCACTGCAGCTGCCACTTTTTCCCCCTTGCCCTCTTTCCGTTCCTTCACTCAGCTTTCTTCTTCTTCTTCTTTTTCCTACTCTTCCACGCGCTCCCTTCGTTCATTGTCCTTCTTGTGCTCCACCCTCACTTTCTCCATCTACTGCTGCTGCAGCTGCCACCCTCGCCCTCCTCCTCGTCCTCATCATAATCATCCTCTCCTGGGTCCTGCTCTTCGTCCCTCTTCTTCTTATTTTTCCTTTTTCGCCCGTCCCCTCTGTTCATGTTCTTCCTTATGCTACACTTTCGCTTCCTCCATCTACTGCTGTAGCTGCCGTTTTCATCTTCCATTTTTACGTCCTCCTCAGCCTCCTGCTCTCCCCACTCCCCGTCCGCTTCCTACTCTGCTTCGGTCCCGCCCTATCCTACCACCGCTATTGCTCCTTTGCCGTCTTCACTTAATTCTGCTCCACATCCTTCTGCTCTTGCTACTACCCCTCCTCCTACTTTTTCCTCTGCCTCGGCCTCTGCTATCTCTCATTAGTTTTTTTAATATCTCGCTACCGCTATGGCTCCTCCGCCTTCTCCTTCTTTTTATGTAGTTCCTCCTTCTTCTGTTCTTACAACGACAACAACAACTACTACTAATACTACTACTACCACCACTAATCCTGTTGCGACTACTGCTACCACTGTGACTTTTTCCCCTACGCCGCCGCCGCCTCCTCCTCCGCCGCCGCCGCCTCCTCCTCCGCCTCCTCCT